GCTGATCAAACTTGGTCCACAGACTCCTCCACTGCCAGTGACTAAGCAACAGTGGAGGGGAAGTCACCAGGGAGGCACAGACCCCCTCTGCTGTTGGCCTCACGGCCCTTCCCACGCTTCTGCCCTGAGAGCATCTCGGGGCCAGGCTGGGCCAGAACCCTCTCCTTGCAAGGCATCTCTTATGTCTGGAGCTCCGAGAGTCACCCACGTTGTCTGTGCGTGCCTTCTCCCACACATGTGCCTCTGCTGTGCTCAGACAGCACCCAACAGCCCACAGGTCAAGGGGCCCACCCACAGAGCAGTGGGCAGCAGGCAGGGTGCAGAACTGGGGCATGGGCCACAGCCCTGGCATCCACGGTGTGGACGATGCTTCCCCAGGACACTTAGAGCAAACACCCACTGGGTTTGAATGTAATTTTAAGACCACAGTACTTGAGCAATCTGACTTGCTTACCAAAAATGAAATGCAGACTTTCCCCTCAAGCGTTTGGGTGAACTCAGGAAGCCAGGCAAGTCTCTCTCTGCAGACGCCCAGGAAAGGAGAGGCGTCTGTGGGAAAGGGGGCCTCTGAGGGCCCAGGGCTGTGCGGTCAGCACCCTCCACGGGGTGCCACAGGGAAAGGGTGGGCCAATCCCAGTTCGGTGGGCTGCCTGGGCTCCAGGAGTCCCAGGAAGCCCCTCCAACACATGGGCCTCCACGTCACAAGGACCCGCCTTGGTGACACCCGGCAGGAGCTGGCAGGAAAAAACACCATCGCTCCTTAACTACTTTGCAGACATACTTGGGCCTTCGCCACCAGGGGAAGAAGCTTCAGTAAGATGAGCCCACGTGAAACCCCACAAAGCACACAGGGAACAGTCACCGTGAGTGACGGCCACAACACGACAGTGAAAGGTCTGAGAACAGGGACAGGAGGACACCCCCCAGGCTGGGGTCTGAGAGCCCTTCCCGCCCCTCTGGCCCCTGTGGCCTCCAGGGTGCCCCTCAGGTACTAGGTCCAGCACCCATGGGCCATCTGCCGCCCCTCGTCCTAGAGGATCTAAGCGTAGGCCCCAAGGCCCTGCTCCTGTGCTGGTCCCTCCTCGGCCTGGGTCCCGGGTCTCCTTCCCTCCTGCCCCCTGACCGCTGCCACCCGGCAGGGGCCTGTGCCCCGTCGTCACCGGCTTCTGTGCCCACACGGTCCTGGGGCTGGAGCGGCGCCAGAGCCCCTACGGACCTGTTCAAACAGGCAGGGCTGCCCGAGAACTTGAGTTTCTCACAAGCTCCCAGGTGCCCGCTGCCTGGGGGCCCTGCTCCAAGGAGTACCGTCCTTCCAGTTTGCTCACCCCTCCTGTGCTGGCCATCGCTCCTGCCGTCCCAACTCAGGGGGCTCTGAGGGCATCCCAACCCCACTGTCCGTCCCCCGCCCCAGGCCCCAGTCCACACCAGCCTGCCCCCTTCCTCTTCGTGCCACAAACCCTCACACGGTTCTCCAAGCCCAACCCCCAGTTTCCCTGTGCTGTTCTGTCGGGGACCCTGAAACTTCCCTGTGGTCAGCCGGGGGACAGCACGTGTCCCTCCAGCCAGGGGCTTTGGGAGCCGACGCAGTTCCCTGGCACATGCACAGCAGGCCTCGCTGGCACCAAAAATGAAAATTCACGGACGTGACCCTTCACAGACAGAAACGAGTAACAAAAGGTAAAACACACACCTGTGTTTGCTTGGAAATAAGTAACCTGCTGGCCGAATGAGACAACATAATGACAATCAGAAAACAGGGAAGAGGGACAGCGGCTTTCTCCACCTCAAAACTCGTGACCGAGGGAACTTGGAGGGAAACGCACCGCTGTGGGCGAGCGCCTGGGAAAGAAGGACCGGAGAGTAAGGACGGCGTCCGACAAGCGGTGGTGCCCAGCGGCACCAGCCACGCCCACACACTGGCCACAGCGAAGACGCCAAAAGCGGAGCCCCGGGGGCAGCGCTACAGCTCGAGCTGGGGGCTTGCACTGCCCCCCTCGGAAAGCCTGGCCAGCAGCCATGATGACACAGAAGAAACGGAAGCTTCCTGGGGAAATAAACCAGAAGCGAAACTCTGAACAGGCCTGGGTCCCCCGCCTCCCCGCCCCCTGCCCAAGACCCCCCGGGGAGGACTGTGCACTCTTCCCTCTCCCAGACTCTGGACGAACAAGTAATTCCTGTCTTCCGCCAGCTGCTCCAGGGACAGGAACGAAGGAACACCTTGTATGAGGTTAGTTCACCAGAAACAGACAGAGACAAAAACTCACAAACGCCACAGTCACCAGGGGAGACGCGTCCCAGACACGCGGGGGCGACTTGAGTTAGAGAATCTGTTCGCCAGACAGCACGGTCATGTTGCTTCAGTCTTGATCCCGAAGGCACCGTTACAAAATTGAAGAGAGCTTTTGACTTGCAGAAAACTTCGGATTCGTCCAGCTTCAACTGGCTGCTCGAAGCCTAAGCACTTGGCTCAGGAGTGGAGGAGCCCAGGCCTGTCCCCCGACACAGACATACGTGGTGGCCCCAGGAGTCTGGCTGACCCATTAGCCAGGGACAGGTCCTCCCGGCATCACCAAGCAAGCTGCGGGCCCGGGGAGCACCCTAACCCTGGACAGCTCACAGACACGGCTCCCGCACGAGCCTGCGGCCCCTTCCTGCAGCACGCCTGCTCTGGACACCTGCCCCCGTGGGCCTGGCCCTTCTTGGGCGGCAGGAGGCAAGGCCGACACTAGACTCGGGCCTCATCCCTCCAGCCTTCACAGCAGTGACTTCTGTGTCCTCCCTGGGAACTAGGGCGACTTCACTCTTTTGCTGCCTCAGGGGAGCCAAGTACAGGGCACGGGGCCCGAGGGTCAGGCAGTCCCACTCCAGGGACAAAGCTACCCTCCAGGCACAGGCCACCACCAAGCAGCCTCCTTGCCAAGCCCACCGCCTCCTGCTGGACGACAGGCTGTCCCTGGGAGAGGAGGCCATGGGCGAGGCCAGTGTGAACCAGTGAGTACCCGGGCCCCACCCGGCACACAGGTGGTCATGGCCCACTAGGTCCCCTGTGCTGTGCGGAAGCCGAATGGTGGCCGCCGGCCCCTCCCTCCTGCTCTGAGCCCCAGGGGTCTGTGTCTACCAGTGTCTAGTGGGTGTCACCCCAAGCCCCAGCCCCCACGTGTCTGCCAGAACATCCGGACAGGGCGGCCCACTGAGGCCAGTGGAGGGCCCGCAACCCCCATGCTCACTCACCTGCCGCAGCTCTCGCGTGGACCACAGTGTCTGCAGGGCCTGCCGGAACAGGAGTGGGTCCTGGCCTGGGGGGACGAGACAAGGGCTATGCAGAGTCCACCAACACCCCCCCCCCACCTTTGATCAACGCCTGGGGGCTTCCCGCAGATGCCAGCCAGTGCCCGTGGACTCCGGCCAGAGCTCCCCACTGCCCTTCCCTGTGACGCCAGCCTGGCCATCCTGACGTGCTCACTGGGATGGGCTTCTGCCCACAGCTTGGGGCAGCCCAGGCCTCATGTTTCAGCAACGGTGGGCTGCAGGTCTCAGACTGACCACACTGTGTGGGCAGGGAAGGGGCATCGGACCCCAGGGCCAAGCCCACAACACTAACCATCAGGGCATGCCTGGTGGGCCACCGCGCCCCGACCCCTCCATGCCATGTCACAGCCCACGCCTGTCCACTGCCCACCAAGTGTGGCCTCCAGCCCCTGCTGAGACCCTAAAGTGGTCCCGGCCTCTGCCTCCCCTGGCTGCTCCCCAAAGCCTCCCCACCCACAGCCCTGGCCCTCTCTTGCTTGCCCAAGTCTCCAGCCCCACTGCAGGACTGCTGGCCGGGGCAGGGATCCCACTGGGACCCTAGGCCTCGGGGAAGTTGGGGTTACCCTCATGCTGGAAAAGGGACTGTGCCCTCAGACCAGGTTTAAGGTCAAGGCCTGGGAAGGTGGCTGCCGCCTGCTCTCCACTTTGGGAAAGAAAGCGGCCTCTGGGTCACCCACAGCCACCAGCGCCCCCTGGCTGCCTCCGGAGGGCCCGCCCCACCTCTGCGGCTACCTGCCCTGGGCCTCAGGGCAGGGCCACCCTGCTCAGCCCTTCCTGGCTCCCCACGGCCTCGCCACATGAGGTCACAGAAACCCCTTTTCTCTGTGCAAAAGCTCTGCTGCCGACACCCGGTTGCCACTGACCCTGGCCTCCCCAGTCCCGCCAGAACCTTGCAGAGCACAGGGCCCAGAGGGGGCGCCTCGTTCTTTCCTCAAGAACCATCAAGGCCATGTGGCTCAGAGGTGGGGGGGGGGGGTGTCACTAACAGATTCCATAGGTCAAATCAGGGGGCTCAAGAGCATGGGTGGCTCACCCGCAAATCTACTCAAGAATCAAAGAGACAAGAGCAACCCACTGGGCTCCTGCAGAAGACCAGACGTGGAAGGAAAGGCGGGGACACCTGAGCCCAGCCCTGGAGGGCTGCCCACCTGAGCACACAGATGCAGGGACCAGACAAGGCAACAGTGGTTAGATTCAGTGCACAGCACGGGAGGAGGGATACGCTGGGTGCACTCCAGAAAGCAAGGCTGATCGACCCATGGAGGGTCCACCACTGTGGCTCGTTAATGGGACACGGGGAAACATTTCATAAAACAAGCATTTCATAAGAGTAAATTCTATTCACGATTTAGGAAACAACTCTGCAACTAGACCACAGGCAACTTCATGACCCAGAAAGAAAGATGTTTATTAACAAAACCCCTCAGCAAACATAGAACTTAATGCTGAAAGCTGAAAGCAGGCCCCCAGCGACAGGGCCAACAGGAGGGCACCCACTGCCCATTCAGCACGGCCTGCAGGCCCCTGCCGGCTCAGCACGACACGAAGGAACAGTTGACGGCACAGAATTTGGAAAGGAAACAATAAAGTCAACACTACTCTGACAAACTCTGGTCTGTCCACAAGCGGAATACGACTCAGCGCTAGAAGAAATGAGCGGTCAAGCGAGAGAGGACACGGAGGGCCCTCAAACGCACACTCCTGAGCGGAGGAGGCCGTGTGAACAGGCCACACGCGGCAGGATCCCAGCCCCGCGACACTCGGGAAGAGGCGCGGCCACGCAGGCAGTGACGCGACGCCGCGGGAGGCCGTCACAGTGGACGCGCGTCACCACGCACGTGTCCCAGCCCACAGAGCACCGCCGCCAGGAGGGCCCGAGTGCCCACGGGGGCTCTCAGCGATGGCGGCGTGTCAGTAGGGCTCATGAGGGCACCACACTGGCCGGGACGCGAGAGGCTGTGTGGGGCAGGGATATGGGAAATCTCTGTAACCTCCTGGATTTTGCTGTAACCCTAAAACTGCTCTAGAAAAAATAAAGTCTTT